CCTCTCAACATTTAACCACAATATGACACAGGATTCTTTACATGAATTAGCAACCATAGCCAAAATACTTGAAGTAATAACAATTTACAGCCCATAAAGCAAAAAAAAAAATCAAACTCACACAAAAGAGTCATGGTTTACAACTTGAATATATGAGATATAAAATTTACAATGATAACATGGTCCATGACTTTATACAAGAGTTTACAAAATACAAGTTCCAATCCAGTCAAAAGTGGTAGAGGGTCGTCGTCCGCCATTTCCTTTCCCGAACCTGAAAAATGTTAAATAATGGGACGAGCTAAAGCTCAATAGGAGGTGCCTAAGACACACCTCTTATGACCCCGTGAATCCACATATAGAATAGAAATCAAGAGAACGGGATCATACTATAACGAGGATATAATCCATAACCACAACGTCAAATATAACCACAATTGTCATCAACATCACTAATATACCATGTATGCCAATGAAGTGCAATGCCATGCCCATGTCACTCCCCTTATCCAAAACATCACCGTTTTAACTTCCAAACTGTTAGTGTAAGCTGACCCAAGGCACCTCCAAGGCGTCACGAAAAGAGAATTGGCTAACTACCCACGACCACAAGGCCCCACCAAGGCGTCGCATCTAGCCGAGTTAACTCAACCACAATCCCTTCTAGACTATACTAACATCGCAAACCATTAGGCGCCTCCTAGGCGTCCGGTTTTCACAAATTCTTTTCAAAAACAATTTTCTCGAAACGATTTCATTTGCTTCAAAAACACTTTTCCCTTTCTTTTTCTTTCCCAATGGATGCATGAATGCTTCATGCTTCTAAACACAATTCAACTATTGAATTTCACACATGGCTTTCCATAATAAATTTTAAAATGCGTAATTAATGCTTTCATTCCACATTGATTTAACATAGTAAACATACAAGGCACAAATTCTATTCCACATTGGCATGCTTAAACACAAAACATCAACTAACACATAATCACATTTCTCATATATAACATTTAAGCATGCTTTCTCCTCAAATAACAATTAACACATAACCACATATCACTTGTTTAACAATTAAATCACCTTTGCAAAAATCCACAAAATTTAGGCATGCTTTACAACAATTAATGAGAGATAATTCACTAAAATCCAAGAAAATGTGAATTAGAAACCCCTACCTCCATGAATTGCAAAAAGCCCCAATTCCCAAGCCTTAAACTCGAAATTCCTAGGGTGCACCAAAGAAGAAATTGCTTACACCCACTTATAGATCTTTATAAGCCCTTCATTTTGCCGCAAAACGGCATTGAAAAACTCTAAAAGGTTGAGAAGTAATCAAACCTTCAAAGCTTGAGAAAAGAGAAAGAGAAAAGAAAAAAAAAAAAAAAAAAAAAGAAAGGGAAAGAGAGGGCTGCTGGGAGAGATGATGCGCACAAGTGTGTACCACTTAAAATACCACTATAATAATAGCACATTCATCATTGTAGAGTAATGCTATAGTAGGGGGTTGTTGAACCACAAGGATTGCTAGTTTATGTCAAACAGAATTATAAAATTGCTTCCTAATTTACTAATAGAGATGATAATTCGATTGGTTTGTCACTTAACATACGAATTTAAATTTCATAAAACAGTAAATAATGTGATTAGAATGGATTGAACTTATAAAGAGAATGCTAGGGAATTGGCTTCATAAAACTACCACAACATCGTCAAGAAGATCATACATTTCAGGACTAAGCATAACCCATCTTTGGGTAGCATGGTTCATCCACCTAAACTAGGTTGTGGTATGAACCATCTTCTCTAGGCATGGCCTATCAAGGTCCTTCATTGGTATGTTGCAGCATATGAAATCAATTAAATATCATAGATTATCTTCAGTTGGTATGGACCATCTACCTAACAACATTAATCTAAAGGTGTAGCATGGTCCATTTTCCTTAAGCATAACCTATATAAATGCTCAATTACATGCCCATATAACCATTCCATAAATTCTTTCCATTGTCACTATAGGAAATCAAGTGTATAATTGTGTCAATGTGATTTCTAAGATAAGATAAACAAATCAACACAATTATATATTCAAATGATAATCAAATACATCAATTCAATGTAAACACTTCTAATTTATGAAACTGAATATATACAATTAAGAATCCCCAAATTGAAATATAATCTAACACATGTTTACTTGGTCTAGGTTACATCAACTCCCTAGAAAGGGAATTAACTTCTCATGGATATGGCAGCAACCTCCAGGATTGAAGAAGAGAAGAAAATCCCTTCTCTCACCATTGTTGCAAAGCTTAGCATAAGAACCCTAAGATAATCCTCTCCCTCACAGTATCTTTTCAAAAACCAAAACTAACTCTCTTTGTTCAAGCCTTTCCCCTTCTTTTATCCTTACGTGAGTTTCAAAATACAATAACTCGTTCAAAATTTGAATTTCCACTCAAGATAGAACAAAATCGGACTTAATTAAAATAGGGGCCCATGGTCTTGCGTCCGGATGCGAAGACTAGCGTTCAAATGCGAGGCCCTGTTGGTTTGGCGTCAGGACGCAAGGTACTGAAAGGTGGCGTCCGGACGCCAGTTCTTGCGTCCGGATGTGAGGCATGCTACTTTGGCTTCTTCTTCTTTCTTTGGCTTTGGTTGCATCCATTGCCTCTTCAGGTCATTTTTCCTTGATAACCATTTGATATGTAGGCCCGATATGACATGTGCTCCAAAAACCCTTAAAACCTTATTCTTATTCCTTTTTAGCAATAAGACCGTAAAAATACAAAAACATAAAAATGTAGTTAATCTATATACACAGATCAAATAATGGGCTTAACTAATGCAATTAAGAGCGCTTAAATATGTAATATTTGACGCTTATCAAACTCCTAAACTTATATTTTGCTAGTCCCTTAGCAAAACAAAATTGAAACATAAATTTCTCCTCTTTCGTAGGAGTGATGATTACATTTAGCATATGCAACAAGCCTTTTAAACTCCTAAGCATCCCTAGAGGACGAGAGAAGTCTCGTGAGGGTTTACCAGAAATGATACCCACAAACACTAAGCACAAGGCTCATTCTAGTATATATTGAAGCATATGAGTTTGGGGAAAAACTCTATCACGAAGACCACAACAAGTATGCACACAAAGATATCTCAAAACAGTATTCAATTCACAGCATTCATGTGTCAATAGACTAGTACACATACATGATCTTCAACATCTCATTTATAATAGAATTTCATCTCAAGTTCCTTAGAAATGAACCAAAATTTCATTTTCTTTTAAAATGCACTTTTAACCATTTTATGTCTCGTTCAATGTCTTGCACATCCTTAATCTATCTTTTAAAATTATAATCTAAGGCATGTACTTATTTGAACACATTTTTTTTTTTTTTTTTTGCGTAACCATGTGCTCAAAGTTCCTTAAGCTTTCTAACCACCCCATCTAACAAGCGTTGAGCCAACGACTCCCAAACCAGATGGTCTTAAGGCATTAAGTGTAAAGACACTCCTAAGGGCGTAATGACTTGGAATGGTTAGGCTATGAACTCAAACTAATCATACATCTTACATTCTTTCCTTGTCTTCCTTTTTAATCAGTTGACATGCTGAAATAATGCAGTTTTATTCATTCAATTTTTTTTTTTTTATGCCAAGGATTATTTCATTCATCCGACTTACTAATTTAGGGAGCCAATTACATAAAACAATCTCCGGTGTGCTCAATGTGCATTGTGAAGTCATTTAGAGATGAAAGACTCCAAAATAAAACATTTAAATCATGCAATGGACCTTTTCCATTTGAACAATCATGCTAGCAACTTTCAATCATTCCTTGATATCCTATATTACCATACAAATTGTATTAATCACATAGACTCTCCCCCCCCCCCCCCCCCCCCAAACTTAGTTCCAAGAATACCAAAAATTAATTGCCTTACAATATTTTTATTTTTATTTTTATTTTTTTTTTAACAAATCAACAAAATTAATCAACTATATGTACACAATTCAACCATATTTAACAATGACAATACGCCTGTAAATAGCAATAAATAGCAACTCTCAACACCCCCAAACTTATATTATACATTGTCCTCAATGTATGAAAACAAGTATATAAAAATTTAATCAGGCAAGGAAGTGTAAAAAGGAGAGGAACTACTGAGTGCGAGATATGAACTTCAGTGCAACCATTCTTATTCAGAAAGCTAAACTTCTCTCCCCCAAACTTGGACCGTATAATATATTCACAAAAACTGGGTACCAAGTATAAAAGTGTAGACATATATAAAGATATAAATATGAAGTAATATGTCATGCTTTATTCATAACCAGGAAACAAATCAAAATTGTGCACATCAAAAAGTGCACCCACAATTTGTGACAATCCGGATTTTTAAGATTTTAAATAATATTTATTCTATGATTTTTAGTTGGCAAAATTGATTATTTAATTTTATTTTGAAGATTTACCCACTTAAATGTAATATACATAAATTAGGTGCACCTGATGGCATAAATTGGAAGCTTCCGAAAATTAGTGGGAGGAGAAATGAGATTGTATTTGGTTTGTGCATTTGAGTATATATATATATATATATATATATATATATATATATATATGGTGTATCAGTTTGTGGAATAGAGAGAGAAAGAATTATGAAGCTGTAACAGTTGGCGCGGGTCCCACTTGATCGGTGAGTAATGGGGTTGATTAGTTATATATATATATATATATATATATATATATATGTTGTCTGTTGAAAAAAAAAAGGAGGGCAGGTGGGTTGCCGAATTGATGATGAGAAGATAAGAGAAAACAATCTAAAAATAAAGAGAAAGGAAAAAGGGAAATTTTAATGTTATTGGCGGGGCGCACTCTAAGGGATTGTTTTGACTCCACGTAGGCTATATCTAATATGTTTGGGATGAGTTGTATCATGTAATCTGTTGAATAAGGAAGCAAAAAGGTGGACGGCTGGTAGAAAAGAAAGAAAAAAAGAATATAAGGAGGCGAGACCAAGTTGGACATTTTTGGTTCAAATGAAATGATGTTGTCTGATGGGCGCGTGGGGTGAGCAGTGCTAATATTTGTATTGTGTCAATGGAAGTGTCTATAAATTGTGTAAGTGTGCTTTGAGTTTGTATGAGTAAACATGAAAAATATTTGAGATTTAAAGTGAGAGGAGGCCGAGAATTCACAGAGATGGACTTGGAGACTTCATGTTCCAGTGATTTATTCTTTTACAGTGTAGGGTTCTTCATACCTTGAATTAGATGATTTTGTTTTAAATATTTTATTAACTGTTATTTTGTTAAAATTGCATATATGTATTTTGTTTAAATATATATGTATTTTTTTGTGAAGTTAATTTTGTATGAAATTTCTTGAAATCCTTGTTATGGTTTTTCCTACTGGGAATTCTCTTGTCTTACTCCCCTACAGTTTCAGGTACCAAGGATGAACTTGGATTGCTAGTTGCGAATTTAGGTGAAAGAGTTGGCGTTGAGGAATTAATTTATTTATTTAGAGATTTTTTTTTTTTTTGTATTTTATTTAAGGAATTGATGTTGTATCAATAAAATGATTTTTCGTTTGAGATCTTGGGAGTGTAATACTGATGTATTTTGATTTGAATAAATCAAAGATTTTATTTAGAAAATTCGGGGCATGACAGAATAGTATCAGAGCCTGTACCCAGTCGGAAGTATGAGTGTGGTGATGATGTATTTGACGGGTGTGAGTAGGTGAGTGTTTAGTTCTGACTAGCTACCACTCATAGCGGGGTGTGTGTGGGCAGATGTCATTCATTGGCTGCTACTGGGATGATTTCTGTTTGTGATTGGGCATGTGTCCTGGGTTCACTATTGGTTTTCTTGTCTATTTTTTTGCGGCGGGTGACAACATTGCTACCACAATGGTTACATAGTGTGTGGGTGGGTAACTAACACTATCAGCTACCACAACGTTTCACATATCACGGTATTTCACATCGTCTGGGGTAAGGATTTTTGAATTGTGTTTTGCCACTTTTGATGTTTTCGGGTATGGGAAAATCGTTGGATCTGAATTTCGGGACGAAATTATTTTTAAGTGGTGAAGAATGTGACTACTCAGATTTTTAAGATTTTAAATTATATTTATTCTATGATTTTTAGTTGACAAAATTGATTATTTAATTTTATTTTGGAGATTTACCCACTTAAATGTTAATGGGTTTTGATTTTGAATTTTTGTATATATAATATACATAAATTGGGTGCATCTGATGGCACAAATTGGAAGCTTCCGAAAATTAGTGGGAGAGAGAAATGAGATTGTATTTAGTTTATGCATTTGAATATATATATATTTATATGGTGTATCAGTTTGTGGGATAAAGAGAGAAAGAATTATGAAGTTCTAATAGTTGGCGCGGGTCCCGCTTGATTGGTGAGTAATGGGGTTGATTAGTTATATATATATATATATATATATATATATATATAATTTGATGGGGAAGCTTGGTGCTTGCTGAAGTTGAAGGAAAAATGAAATGAAATGTGTACGCGAGGCCCACAAGGAATGATAATTAAGGACTTTTGGTTTTGTGCATATAGAATATATATATATATATATATATGTATGTATATGTTGTCTATTGAAAAAAAAAGAGGGCAGGGGAGCTGCCGAATTGATGATGAGAAGAGAAGAGAAAGCAATCTAAAAATAAAGAGAAAGGAAAAAGGGAAATTTTAATGTTATTGGCGGGGCCCACACTAGGGGATTGATTTTACTTCACATGGGCTATATCTGATATGTTTGGGATGAGTTGTATTGTGTAATCTATTTAATAAGCAAGCAAAAAGGTGGGTGGCTGGTAGAAAAGAAAGAAAGAAGGAAAAGTAAGATAAGGTGGTGGGGCCAAGTTGGACATTTTTGGTTCAAATGTAATGATGTTGTCTGATGGGCGCGTGGGGTGAGTAGTGCTGATATTTGTATTGTGTCGGTGGAGGTGTCTATAAATTGTGTAAGTGTGCTTTGAGTTTGTATGAGCAAACACGAGAAATATTAGAGATTTAAAGTGAGAGGAGGCCGAGAGTTCACAAACATGGACTTGGAGACTTCATGTTCCAGTGATTTATTCTTTTACAATGTAGGATTTCTCATACCTTGAATGGCCTGGATGATTTTGTTTTAAATATTTTATTAATTATTATTTTGTTAAAATTGCATATATATATTTTGCTTAAATATATATGTATATTTTTGTGAAGTTAATTTTGTATGAAACTTCTTGAAATCCTTGTTATGATTTTTCCTACTGGGACTTCTCCCGTCTCACCCCCTACAGTTTTAGGTACCAAGGATGAACTTGGATTGCTAGTTGCGGGTTTAGGTGGAAGAGTCGGCGTTGAGGAATTAATTTATTTATTTAGAGATTTTCTTTGTATTTTATATAAGGAATTGATGTTGTATCAATAAAATGATTTTTCTTTTGAGATCCTGGGAGTGTAATACAGATGTATTTTGATTTGAATAAATAGAGGATTTTATTTAGAAAATTCGGGGCGTGACACAATTGTTATGCCAAACATGGCCTATAAAATTATTTAAAACACACAAAGCAGAAATAAGTTGCATGAACTAAATAAAACTAAAGATAAAATCAGTTCGCCCTACAAAATAGAGGGTGAAGTGTCAGCTCCTCCAGGAGCATGATCATTCAGTAATTGCACCAGTGCGAGCAAGAAGTTACTCCTTCCAATCTTTGAAATTGTAAACCTTCTTTGAAGTTTCTCGTTTCTCATTACATGGAATCACAAACCCTTGGTCCTTAATTATCTTCATGATTAGATAAGGAAATGGAAATGACCAAGTCAAGGAGCTTTCCTTTTTGCGAACAGTCAATTTGTTATAGACCTTTAAAATTTGATTCATAATCAAAGTTGGAACAGAAATCCAAAAGTCATTTTTCGCTGAAAAGAGAGAATCCAAGCAAACACTGTTATGTGTTGTAGGTTTGCCAATTGGAAGAACATTCATAACCAGTAGAACCTCAATGAACCAAATCCGGGGTGGCACAAAGGACCTTTTAGGTGAGGTGCTATCTAAGCTTTTGATATTGCTATGTGTTACTTCTTTTAAAACATCTGTTAGGTCATCTAATAAATCAAGAATATCTGGGAGGGGAGCATAGAGAGGCTAACCGTCCATATCAACTGGGGAGTTAATGGGACATCCACATGAAACTGGAATATCATCCATTGTAAACGAAAGCATGGTGCAATCAATTGTAGTTGAAAGCTTGGTTAGTTACAAAGGTTTGTATGAAAGATTCTAGTAGAACTGACGAACTAAGCGAGGATGAACCACATTATGACATGGTTGAAATATTGATGCTAAGCCTCGTTTCCTGAGATTTTTAACTGCCCAATCTATGTCAGCATGCCTACGAAAGAAATTCCGAACATCGAATGTAGTTTCAGATTGAAGGGGCCATTTAGACCAATTCGGATCAGGTGGTTTCCTTAGGAAACCCCTTGGATTTACAAGGATGCTTTGAAGCTGAAGAATAAGCCATGTGAGTGATTGAAGTTGGTTCAGGATTTTTATCAAACACGTGGTGTGCAAGACTGAAAAGTAAAGAATACTCATGAAGATTAGATTATTTAAATCCAACAAGCATGAATCTAGAATTAAAACATAACAATTCCTCACTTAATAAACTAATCACCCACAAAATCAAGTTCTAATCTCGATGAAATATTCAAGAATTGAAATATAGAAGAGAAAAGAACTTACCTCAATTTGGAGTTTGAAACTTTGCCCTATTTGATTGAAAGATGATGATGGAAAAGGATGATTAAAGATGACGAATTGATGAAAAATGGAGATGGAAAAAGTGAAATATGATTTTGAGATGGTGTGGGAATGTAGGGTTAGAAGGTGGGAGGTGTAGGTTGTGAATGAGGAATGAAGGAATGAAGTTTATAAAATCCTGAGCTGGGCTCAGGTTGGCTTTATGGCTTTCATGTCCGGACACAAAACATAGCGTTCGGACGCGGATTGTAGTGGGGCTCTTGATGAGCGATTTTTTTGCGTGCTGGGGGCTGATGATGATAGAATGGTGTCCGGACGCACGTTTTGGCATCCGAACGCAAGTAGTAGCAGGAGTTGGCGTCCGGACATTGGTGGTGTCGTTTGGACACGAGTAGTAGCAGGAGTTAGTGTCCGGAGCCAATGGTGGCATCCGGACGCAGGTGCTTCCAAGTGGTGGCATTCGGACTCACGATTTGGTGTTCGAACGCGAGGTCTTCAGTAATTGGCTTCCGGATGCGAGATGCTTCAGTTACCCTAATGAATTATTCATAAAAAATGCCTAAAAATGTTACCAAACCTTTGTATGACTATAGATACCCACTATGGCCACTTGAATGGACATGTAAATGATTCTTGAAGAATGCAAAGTGGAAATTCTATTAAGCCATTTGGAGAGAATTTTGGTTCATGGTAACAAGTATATAAGGAAGCTTAGAATGGAAAGAATTTGCTTCCTTGAAGTGCTAAATTTAATGTTGATAGCTAGACAAAATGGGAATCTTTCTAGTTCTCATAAATTGGATTCGTCAATATGATGGAATCTACCTATCTGACCGGGACTAGGTTGTCAATGTAAGGCTTAAGCTGCTGACCATTGACTTTAAAAAGATTCCCATTCTTTGGGTCTTACAGCTCAACTTTACCACAGGAGAAGACAGAAGTGATTAGAAAAGGTCTTTCCCAGCGTAAACAAAGTATCCCTAGGAAGATTTGTAATTCAAAATTGGAAAAGCCAAATTTTGACCTGAAGCAAAAGATTTATTGATGATATGTTTGTCATGGAACTTTATAGTCTTTGCTTTATAAATTTTGGCATTTTCATAAGCCTCATTTCGGATTTCTTCTAACTCATTGAGCTGCAATTTTCTGTTAAAGCAGGCCTGATCAAGATTGAAATTGAACCTTTTTATGGCCAAAAGGCACGATGCTCTAATTCAACCAGAAGATGACATGCCTTACCGTAAACAAGCCGGTATGGTGACATGCCAATTAGCATCTTAAACGCAGTTTGGTAGGCCCAAAGCGCATCGTTCAGTCGTAAAGACCAATCTTTGCGGTCCGATCGAACCGTCTTTTTAAGAATATTTTTGATTTCCTAATTTGAGACTTCCACTTGACCACTCGATTGAGGATGGTAAGGCGTGGCAACCTTGAAAGTAACAGAGAACTTAAGTAGAACAGATCGAAGATAACAATTGCATAAATAAGACCTTTCATCACTTAAGAGTGCCCTAGGTGTACCAAACCGACTGAATATGTCATTTGAATGAACTGGACCACTACAATGTGGTCATTGGTTATGGTTGCCTCAGCCTCCATCCATTTAGATAAATAGTCCACCGCTAGGAGAATGTAAACATAGCCATATGAAGATGGAAATGGTCCCAAAAAATCTATTCCCCATACATCAAAGATTTCGATAATTAGAATGGAGTTCATTGGCATTATGTCCCTTTTAGACATGGCCCCAAGCTTTTGACATCACGTATAAGAATTGCAAAAATTATAAGCATCCCT